CTGACAGGGATCACAATAGAAGGTCCAGACAGAGAGGGAGAAAAATGTAGAACAAAATTTTAACTCACAAAAAAAGACCAGACTTACTAATCTGACAGATACTGGAGAAACACCAAGAGTATGGCCCCCAGACACCCTTTTAACTTAGTACTGAAGTCACTCCTGAGGTTCACCGTTTAGCCAAAGATTAGACAGGCCTATAAAACAAACAATAACACACATAGTTCAACCACGTATACAAGACTAAATGGGTACATCAGCCCAGGAACAAGGATGAGAAGGCAGAAGGAGACAGGAAAGCTGGATGAATGAAAATGGGGAAACGGAGGTGGAGAAGGGGAGAGTGTTGAATGTTGTGGGGTTGGCAACCAATGTCAGGAAACAATATGTGTATTAATTATTTAATGAGAAACTAACTTGCTCTGTAAACTTTTGCCTAAAGCACAATAAATTTTGAAAAATTCGTCACCTGGTCCCATGTCTGCCTCCAGTTACTGCTTCATTTCTATGACATCCCTTATAGACAATCCTGAGTCTATTCTCTCACCTACCATATTATGAAAATGTTGAGTTTTTGTTCTTATCAAATGAATGCATGCACATAATTTAAGAAGTCAAATACTTCTACAAGTCTTGTTTTGAAGACAGCCATCCTCAATCTTCCATGCACCCCATTTCTTGAACCCCAAAGGGAACCATTTTTAATGCTTTTAGTTGATTTTCTTAGTGTTATTTCTGTCTCTAAATAACATACTTATACTGCTCATTCTTTGTTCTTCAGTTTTATGTATCATCTGTAATGGATTATGGAGCCCTGGTGGCACAGTAGTTAGTAGCTTGGCTGCTAACGAAAAGATGGGCAGTTTGAATCCACTAGCCACTCCTTGGAAACCCTATGGGGCAGTTCTACTCTGTCCTATAGGGTTGGTATGAGTCAGAATCGACTCTACAGCAAAGGGTTTGGTTTTTGGTTTTTGTGATGGATTATCTCTCCTGCACACACCCCCATCCTTCCAACATAATTATGCTATTCTTTTGGTTAGCTCAGTGTTCAGTGTTCACATTATTGTTGTTGTTGTGTGCCATCAAGTTGATTCCAACTCATAGCGATCCCATGTAAGTGAGTAGAACTGCCTTAAAGGGTTTCCAAGGCTGTAATCTTCACGGAAGCAGACTGACACGTTTCTTCTACAGAGCCGTTGGTGGGTTGGAATCGCCAATGTTTTGGTTAGCAGCTCATCACTTATCCACTTTGACACCAGGGCTCCTATTTACATTATTATGACCGTGTAAATACTATTCACAACTGAGCATTTAGTAGACTATGATTACTTTTCCTTTCTTAAATCAACTTTTTATTTTCCCTGGAATTAAACATCTTGTTCCTTTATTTGCTTAGTTTCTGTTATAAACTTTACTGAATCATTCCCAAAATTCCACCCAACCCCCTCATCCCCCACCCCATTCTGTATCTATTGTGAATATATTCCAGCACATCAAGTTTTCTCTTGTGTTGGCTCCCCAGTTCCCTGGATCCCATTTGTTCCCCTTTTCTGTTTTTTTTTCCATCATTTTTGGTTCCCATATCCTCTTGTAGTACCCTGAGGAAGGGAATATGGAAAGCAAAATGTTAAAATCCTAACCATCGGAAAATGTCTTTAGGCCACCCTAGCACTTACTCACATTTTGGCTTGGTATAGAATTCTGTGTGGAGCAACTTTTTCCTTCAAATTTGTAAGTTGTTACTTACATGTCTTTCAGCTTTAAGAGATGCTCTTTTTTGTTACTTCTGGATGTTTTCAGGATCTTTTCTCTTCTACCTTCTTTCTGAAATTCATTCTGATGTGCTCTTAGTGTGGGTCTATATTCATTAACCATAGTAAGAATTTGTGCACTTTTCTCTGTAAACTGTAAGACATTTTCTTGAAATATTTTTAATTATTTCCTGTCCCTACTTCTCTTGAAACTTGTAGTATAAGGTTGTTGGAATTCATTGATAGTCTAATATTTTTATAGTTCTGTTCACAGTCACTTTTCCATTTTGTACTATCTTGTGGAAGTACGACTTATATCACCCAGTTCACCTATTGAGTTTTCATTTCTATGATCATATTTTTGATTTTCAACAGCTATTTCTAGTTCTCTGATTGTATATAATTGTACATAATTTTGTCCTTATTTCATAATTTTAATGTCTTTGACATAATTGTGGAAAACATTTGTATATCTGTGAGCTTGTACTTGCCATAAGAAGTTATTAATTTGCATATAATCAAAACTTCCATCAATTCATCAATTTTATTTATGGTTTTTCATCCTGGGTCATGCTTAAAGAATCCTTCACTTTACAATTGTAAAAATTTCATGTATGTTTTCCTCTAAGTACAGACGATGAGGAGAGAGGGATCTGAGAGTCAAGGAAAATAAAATTGTTTGTATTTTGGAGAAAAGGTAGCAATAGGTAAATAGGTAAAGAATTCTAAGGTGGTGCAATTCTAAGTTTTGAATCTCTTGTTTAATACTTTTAAAAACATATCTGCAAGACCTACAGGGCATTTCATATGTGTGGTATCAATAAGCACTTTCCCATGAATAAGTAAAGACTTATTTCCTATTAAGATTAAAGAAAAACAATAACACTAAGAGTCTCAATGAAATGTAAACAAAAATTGCCACTGGTGATGGGCATTTTTGAACACTTGTAATCTTGACATGATAAATCATGTTTTGGTGAATGTCTGTACAGTCTAGTTGTTAAATGCCTATTAATTAAACTTTCATGGGCATTCTGTATTTTAAGGATATATCTAAGAACTGATTTAGGAAATGATATTGGAATCATTTATTCCCTCTCCTTGAGCATAGAGAATGTGACCCAGCTGGAGATTGGCTCACAAGGACTCGCAAGGATACATCAACTGGGCCCTGAGGTATAAAGACAATAGCTAAGATAATCTTGGAAAATATCTTTTAGGGAAACTTTCACATAAAGCCAGTCAAACAGAACACAAAAGACTTTTCTACTCTTATCTTTTTCTGTTAGCATTTTGTGAATAGAAATTTGTTGGACCAATGAAGACCCTCCTGACTGTTGTTACTGAAACCTGTACCAATGATTGTTAAGAAAGAAAATTCAAAACATAGGATCATATTTTCTAGCCAATCTGAAAAGGCTAAGCTTTCAATGGTTTTGCCCATTTGTAATGTGTGGGGATATGTGCCATTGAAATATGGCTACACCAGTGACAACTTCAGCCCCTCTAAGGCCCATATGCTGCACACAGCATGTTGAGACTTGTCAGCAACGTGTTGAGACTTGTTACGACTTGTTTGGCTTGTTTACCTGAAGTCCATTCTCCCTTGCCCGAAACTTATTGTTATTCACCCAAAGCCCATTGTTCTGTAATTTGCTTCACTACTTGCTGTATTGACTATAAATAAACCCCTGGCACTGAAGCGGGGGTCGGCTCCTCAGAGTGACCCTCCTTGGCCCCACTTTTCTGTAAGAGTTCTGGCATTGGTTACTGTCTCTGCTGCTCCAACAACCATCGCAGCTTCAACAGATGGTGCCCCGTGTGAGAGACTGTAGATGCCCTTGCACTCAAATCCCTTCAGGTGGTAAGTATAGGATGCATCCATTTCAAGCTGTTTAAAGGCACAGCTTGAGGGCGGCAGGGTCTTTCCGCGGGCAGAATTTTCCCGAGCGCTCTCAGATCAGGCTGCTTTAGCCCCAGAGCGGCAGAGCTTTCCTGACTGTTCCTGAGGGATTTCAGGCTTCAGGCCAGGAGCTTTCCTGTCATCCTCCTTTTCATTTTCCTTTTCTTCCTCACTATGGGGAATTCTCTTTCTCCTGAGCAGCGTCAACACAAAACCCAGTTGCTAAGATTGTTAAAAGCCTCTAAGCTTAAGGTCTCAGAAGAAGCGCTTACTCAACTTCCGCTTTTAATTGAATCTGCCTGTCCTTGGTATCCCTTGTGGGGAAACCTTGATGTAGAAGCATGGGAATGTATCGGTAACATCATTCGTGACATGAACATCCCAGCTTCAGTTCTTATTGCTTGGCATCACTGCCGCCTTGCCCTACAGCCCTTACAGGCAGCTCCCTCGGCTCCCTCCCCTAGCAAAGAAAATATTTATGACCCTCCTCCTTCCACGCCTCCTGAGGCTGCTTCCTCACAACATGAGTCTCTTATGGGGAAGTGTTTGCTAGAAGGCTGTGAGAAAGAAGGGCTTTTTCCTGGCCCTCTTCTTGGCCCAAGAAACAGACCGCTGAAACCCTCACCGGAGTTGGAGGAGCACAGTGTCCTTTTCAAAGTACACTTCCCATTGTTTGCTATAGTCCTGATGGACAGCCCGCTTCTATCTGTCCCTTTATCCTTCCTTTACCTACTATATTATGGGGATGAGATTTACTCTCCCAGTGGAATGTTCAAATTGGCACCCCTCAAGATTTTTCATAGGGGCCACTGCTCAAACAGACCCTCTGTTAAAATTAACCTGGATACCTAGCCCTCCTGTTTGGGTTGAGCAGTGGCCCATTAAAGAAGAAAAACTAGAACCCCTTAAAAGCCTGCATATAATTCTGCTAAATTTCAACAATTTTGTGCCACATGGAATATTCTTCGTACCACTGGCATTCCTTATAACCCTCAAGGTCAAGCCATAATTGAGCATGCCCATCATACTCTCAAACAGCTCTTAAATAAACAAAAGGGGGGAGATGATGGGACCAGACTATTTGACCAGAATGAAAGACTTGCCAAAGCTCTCTTTACTTCTAACTTTTTATAGGTTGCTAAAGATGGTCGTACTCCTGCAGAACGACATTTTATTCTCCCTGACACCCGACCTCGCCTATAGGTGCTCTATAAAGATCTTCAAAATCCCTCTGTCTGGCAAGGACCTGTAGAATTATTAACCTGGGGTGAGAGTATGTGGCTGTTTTGTCTCCTACAGGCCCACTTTGGATTCCCGCTCGATTAGTAAAACCATATCATGACCCAGCGACAGCCACCTTTTCTCCTCTGCTGGGAACCGCCGCTGCCACCCCTGCTGCAGCTGCCGGAGCCGCCATCCGATCCGATTCCAGAGCCACAACTGACACCATCACCCCTTCCCCCGGGGAAGGACACTGAGCAACGGGGATCTACCATGCCGGTAACATGGGGAGGTCTACACGCCCCTGGCAAGATAGTCCCCCCCTCGCTCAGGTTGTTAATGCATTACTAAAAATACGAACTAAAAGGTTTCTTGGAATTCTCATAGCCTCCATTATCACAGCCACTTAGCTCTCTCCCAATCTATTCAGACCGCCCAACAATTTACCACTTATATGCAAAACGTTACCTTTGAAATGCAAACTACAGCACATATTGATCAAAAAATCCTCAAGCCTCTGGGTGCTTTAGAAGCCTCAGTCCTTTGGCTTGGAGAGCGACAGGAAGCCCTATGGGAACATTCCCAACTAACCTGTGATGCAGAATACACTCGCTTCTGTGTTACAGCCCTTCCATATAATGAATCCTGGAAGGATGTTAAAAATAATCTTTTAGCTAGCTTCGCTTCTCCATTGAAAAGTGATATTCAAAAATTACAATTCCAGTTACAAGAACAACTCTTGAAACTACAAGCAGAATCTAATAAAGTTACACTTACTACACTTAATGATTTTGCCTACTGGCTTAATCCTACACATTGGTTCTCTGGACTCAATCTCCATGTTTGGATCCTTTTTGCTATAGGATGTTTAATAGTCTTGTGCTTCCTTATAGTCATCCGATGTCTCTACTCCCTGAAGATCTCCCATCACCAACAGAAGTTGGTCTTCTATGCCTGGACCATTCGCTATCAGTTATTTAGACCAGAAACAGAAAAAATGAAGGCCTCCTCTTAAGAAGGCCCTTCCTATGTTATTATCTTATTAATCAGTAATTACCTGATAAAAATTCGTTATGTGTAAATTCCTCTATATTTTCTGCTTCTTCTAGATTAGATGCTTCTGTATAAATAGGTTTCTAATTCAGATGATTCCCTTCCAAGTAATAGTGAATTTGCGTAAATGTTTGTTTGATTATTAATGAATCTTTGAACCTTTAAGTATAATAATCTTAGTGAATGTTAAAGATAGTGTTTAGCTTACTAAATGAGAGTCGGAGGAAACCCATTGGTCCAACAATCAGGGTATGATTAGCACAAGGGATTAGTATATCTTTATAAAGTCATCCTCTGTTGTCATACACACCTATAGGCCTTGGGCTGAGACTTTTGTTAATGTGCAGTGAGTCCGCTCCAGCAATGCTATTGATGAGCATATCACCCTTATTTGGTACCTGGTGAAGAACCAGATGGTATCTGTTGGAAAATCAGCACCATGAGTTTAAAGAGCCTGCCATGGCCGCCATCTAGGAGCCAAAGTCCAGGTATTACTCATCGCGATGCTACCTTCTCCTCCTTGAGCATATGGAGTGTGACCCAGCTGAAGCTGGGCTCACAAGGACTCACAAAGATTCTCTAAGCATCAACCAGGCCCTGAGGTGTGGAGACAGTAGCTGAGATAACCTTGGCTTATATCTCGTAAAGAAAATATTACTTTATCCAAACGGGCATTTGCTGGACCAGTGAAAACCCTCTTTATTCTTATTCCATTAATTAAACAAAAGGGGGGATATGTGGGGATATGTGCCATTGAAATACGGCTACACCAGTGACAACTTCAGCCCCTCTAAGACCCATATGTTGCACACAGCATGCTGAGACTTGTCAGCAGCGTGTTGAGACTTGTCACGACTTGTTTGGCTTGTTTACCTGAAGTCCATTCTCCCTTGCCCGAAACTTATTGTTATTCACCCAAAGCCCATTGTTCTGTAATTTGCTTCACTACTTGCTGTATTGACTATAAATAAACCCCTGGGACTGAAGCTGGGGTCGACTCCTCAGAGTGACCCTCCTTGGCCCCACTTTTCTGTAAGAGTTGTGGCATTGGTTACTGTCTCCGCCACTCCGACAACCATTGCAGCTCCGACAGTAATGTTAATATATACTGATGGCTCTGTAATGGTCTCAGGACTTAGCCAGACATGGCCGTGGCAACATGCTTGTCCGTTTTCCCATTCTTGCCTGTTCTGTAATATTCTTTGGACTTGGACAGACATGACTCTAGCAGCAAGCTTATCCGTTTTCCCACTTTTGTCTGTTTTGTGATATTTCCTTGGACTCTGGCAGACATGGCTGACAGCATGGTTGACCGCTTCCCACTTCTGCCCTTTTGAATATATGCTGAATAAAACTTTCTTTTTGCTTTACTAAATTTCATGATTTTTTCCCCTACAAAAGAACCACGTAGACAAATTCATGGCTTTAAAATAAAGGTAATTTTAATATACTTCAATCTATAAATTGCACAGTATTTTGAAGGGAGAGGTTGAAAATTCAGAACACTCTAGATGCGTACTGTCAAATATGGTAACTACTAGCCAGGTGTGGCTATTTAGATTAACAAAGTAAAATTAAAAATTAAACTTCTCAGTCGCACTAGCCACATTTCAAGTGCTCAACAGCCACACATGGCTAGTGGTTACTGTATTGGACAGCACTGACATACAATTCTTTCATCACAGAAAGTTCTATTGACAGCACTGCTCTTGATGGTTTATGGACATCAAGTCAAGTGCCTTAGACCCATTTAAAATGAATGGGCCCTCATTATTTCTCACACAGATCGCATCAAACTCCCAGCTGTCTGGGATATGGATATTGTCATGGATTGAATTCCGTCCCCCAAAAATGTGTGTATCAATTTGGCTGGGTGATGATTCTTGGTATTGTGTGATTTTCCTGTATGTTGTAAATCCTGCCTCTATGATGTTAATGAGAGAGGATGGGCGGCAGTTGTGTTAGTGAGGCAGGACTCAATCTACAAGACCGGATTGTGTCTTGAGATATAAAAAAGAGAAGTGAGCAGAGAGACATGGGGACCTAACACCAGCAAGAAAGCAGCACCAGGAGCAGAGTGCATCCTTTGGACCCAGGGTCCCTGCACCTAAGAAGCTCCTCAGCCAAGGGAAGATTGATGAGAATGACCTTCCAGCAGAGCCGACAGACAGAAAAAGCCTTCCCCTGCAGCCGACACCCTGAATTTGGACTTTTAGCCAACTAGACTGTGAGTGAATAAATATCTCTTTGTTAAACCCATCCACTTGTGGTACTTCTGTTACAGATGACTAAGCTAGATACACATTAAGCTGGTGTGCAACAAAACCAAAATATATCATGAGTGAATCACAATCTGGTGCCTTCAGGCACAAATACTCCCAGTTCCAAAAGGAAACACTGTTCCTTCCACCTCAGTTTTCTGACTGAGGACACTCTCTGACATTAAATTTCCAGGGGGTAAGTTCTCTTCTAGAGGAGCCTATAGGAAGAGGTCTAAGCTAAGCTTTGGGAGGCAGAGAGTCCAGCTCAAGGAGAGGGATTCTGGAAAGGGAAGAGGAGGCAAATAGGCTGGGGCTATTTAGGGGTCTCCCTGGTTTACTCAGAACAGCAGTTCTCATATTATTTTTGCATCTGGGAAACACCAGTGAACTAAAAACAGGTTAAAAATTGCCAGGCTGGGGACTTCCAGCAAGATGGCAGTCTAGGCAGAAGCACCACACTGTCCCTCCACAGCAAAGATCCGAAAAACTAAGCCAAACTGAGAAAACAGCAATCCTGAAATCCTAAACATCAAATGAAGAGATAAACAACTCAGCCAAGCACCAAATGGAATAAGAAACTGACAGAGAACAGAGAGTGAGGAGACATACATGGAGAGGTCCTCTATCAGCTAAAAGCAGCATGGATCCACCATCTTGGACTCCTATCAGATACCAGCAAATACAGTGTACAAGAAAGCAGCCTCATGAAGCTTCTAGCAGGAGACAGAACAACCATTTCTCGTCTCTCTATACCTTCCTTCTCTTCCTGTCCCCTGAATACCTGGCACTGAATACCTCTATGCCTCCTAGCCAGGCTGTACTTCAACACCTGGGAAAAACTCCCCCAGACCTCGTAGCCACGCCAGTGGGATCCCTGGGAGCTTTGCTGTTCTTGTCTTTCCAGTTTTTACTTATTCATTCTTTTCTTTTCCTTTTTTTTGCTTCTTCTTCCCCTTTTTGTTCTTCTCCATTTCATAGTCTCTCATCTCTCCACTCCAACGGAAAGCTCCCCTAGCACTCTTTTTTGTTTGTATGTTTTTGGCTCCTTTTCCTCTCTCCTCTCTCCCATACCCATCTTAGCTCCACACATCACAATCTCTCCCCTCCATCCTGCCTACCTGCACCGTGTGCTTAACATCACACCACCAAGCAGCACAGGTATGGCCTACCGGAACCTGCCCTGCACTGATTACCGACCGGCCCTGGTGGCTGTAATAAGTGCCACAAACAACCCATCCCAGCAACTCCTCTTCAGCCGGACCTGCCCTGCTGTACCATATGTGAGGGACTGACCCTGCCCATTGGAGAAGGAGGTGAAAAGTATCATACCCACAGATGAGCAAATAACAAAGAACACACAGCCCGCCTGCTCAGACATAGCCAAATAAAAAAAAAGGATGAAACAAACAAATGTACAATCAGTAAACGAGAAAAATAACTACCAAATGCCCCGAAGACAGCAGACAATATCAAAACATTTACAGAAAGAGGACAGGATTGTTTCAGTAGGCATCCAAAATAAAACACCAGATGACTTTCCAGTAGAAGAAAAAGCACTAGAACTACCTGATAGGGAATTCAAATCTCTAATACTCGGAGTTATCCAAGAGTTGAAGGAAAAAGCGGACAAAAAAAGGAAAAAATAGACAAATTCATGGAAAATACAGACAAAAAAAATGAAAGAATTTAGGAAAATAATGCAGGAACAAAATGCCAAAATAAATTCACAACTAGAAATCATACAAAAACAGCAATTAGAAATCCAAAAGATAAACAACAAGAAATGGACAGTGTCATAGAGGGGCTGAGGAGCAGATTTGAAACAGTGGAAGACAGGATCAGTAGAATTGAAGACAAACACTTGCATACAACTCTGTTCAAGGAAAACTCAGAAAAAAGAACAAAGAAAATTGAAGAGACCCTGAGAATTATGTGGGATACAATCAAAAGCAAAAATTTTC